GGGGGGCTCTGCGCGGGGGTCAGCGGGGTCCGCAGGGACGGTTGTGGGGGAGTTTCCCAGGGGAGGCACTGGTGCAGCTGGGAACGGCTGTGCTGGAGGGGTGTTGGCAGAGGGCACTGGTGGAGGCCGGGGGTCTCTGCGGGGATGCCGGGGAGAGCTTCTTCCCACCCACCCCCCCCGCCCTGCTTTTCTCCATGTCACAGGAAGGTCCCCGTCATGTTCTTCACTTTGTCCCCCTTCCAGTAGTGCATCCCTGGGTGAACAGGGGGGGACTCTGGGTTTGGGTGACTGGTTGCGCCGTCCTGGGCGGGGGGATGATGCTGCCAGGGTCAGGCCAGGAGCAGGGTCTCCAAGCAGCATCATGGTCTGGTGACTCCTCTTGGCCCGGCCCTGGCAAACTGTGGCCTGAGCAGCCTCTGCCTGTGAAAACCCAAGCACGGGGCAGCATATGGCTGGGCAGCAGAGTGCTGCGAGTGCCACGGTGGAGGCTGAGCTCTTCCTTCTGCTCTGGGTAAACACAACCGCGGCTGCGTGCTCCCGGTCTGCAGGCCTTCCCCACCCATGTAGCCGTACGGTGGTGCCTGCCCCTGCCAGACACTGCCCAGGCAGTGCCCCAGCCTTGAGGACTGAATTCCTGCTGTGGGTTTACACTCCAGACCCCTTCAGAGCCCTGGTTGTAAGCAATTGAAATAAGTAGCATATTTTTTTCCATGTGTCCTTTGGGACGGAGGGAGAGCGGTGGCACCAGCAGCCGCAGCCTTTCCCCCCCACGAAGACTCAGCAGAATTGACGCGGCTTGCGCCTGCCCTTGAGTTTGCGGCTGGCCCTGGCAAGTGGCTCTTGCCCACCCTGGCTCTCTGTTCGCAGTTCCCAGTATGCCTCAATGTCCTCGGCCGCGATGCGGGAGGGACACGGATGGGTTCAGGCTGTGGGGTACGTGTGCTGTGTAGGGATGAGCCCAGCAGGTGGGCTGCCTCTGTGAGCCATTGTGGCTGGACACTGAGCTGTCCCTCCTCAGGGCTGTGCTCTCATCAAGGTGTTGCTTGTTTTGGTGTTTGCCCTGTCACAGAGAAACCACAGTGAGCCCAGACCTGGGGGAAGCAGCGGTCAGGTTGGATTTGGGGCACTGCAGGCCAAAGCTCCAGCAAGCCCAGTGCTGCGCAGCGTTCTCTGAAACAACTTATTCTCCAAGCACTGCTCAGAGACAGATTTTTTTGCAGTGGTTTACCTTGAGTCCCTGTTGCTGTTAACCACGGCTCTGCTCCAGCTACCCCCCTGTGGTGAGCGGGGTGGGGGCCCAGGCTGTGTCCCATCCATGTCCTCCCCCCAAACCTGCTTGGACTTGGGGCAGCATTTCTAGGGCCTGTGGGGTGGGATGCAGAGAGAGGAGATGCTGGCTGCCTCCTGACCCTCAGCTGATGAGTGGATGTGGGGAGTTGAACGCCTCGTGACTGCTCCGGGTTTCCTCACTCTGCCGTCCAGGCGAAACATGGGCTGGGGGCTGCTGCCACCCCCAGCCGGTGGGAAAGGTGGCAGCAAGGAGCCGGTGCAGCAACGTCCTCAGGCCAGGTGGAGGCAGAGGTTTTGCATGAAAGTAATTTCAATGAACCACAGCCTGTGCGCTGGGCTGAGCAGGAGCCCTTGGAGAGGTGCCGCGATCCCAAATCGGCCTCGTTTTACCTTTGGCAGACTTGGCTGCGGGTGGGCGTCCGCCTGGGTTGCTCTGGCCTGGCCTGATCTCTGGTGTGGAGTGTCGCTGCCCTGCTGACGGCTGCCAGAGAGGATCTAATCTGACCTGACTCCCCTCTCCGCTGCCGAAGGAGTCGGCTTGGTTTGCAGATGAGGTGTGAATCCGCCCGGCTCCATCTCGGACATGCTCTCCGGGGCAAAGCTACCTGGCGAGTGCATCCTCTGCTTTTCACAGCTCAGCTGCCTGCCTTCATTCCTGCCTGTCTCAGCTTATCCAGTGTGTCGTGTCCCTGAGGTGTGCCGGCACCGCTGCTTCGGCTGAGACCCCTGGGGAGATGTCCCCTCTTTGCACCTCGCGTGACGGTGGCTTCGCTCCCTGCAGTGGGGGCTGCCAGGCGGTGGCACGGCGGCTCCCCCACTCACAGCCATGCGTTGTTGCTGGAATGCAAAGGCAGAGCCTGTTTTCCCATGGTTGCTCCGGGACTGGGAGCACAGACCCCTCTTTGTGCCCTGGGGGGCGAGGGAGGGCTTGGCTTCGTCCCACTGCGAACAAATGGGAACTGTCGGCCACGGCGTGCCAAGCGGGTGCCATCTGGAGTGTGTGTCGTGCCCGGTGCTGAGACGTGATCTTGGCACGGAGGGGAGCACGGCTGACCGGTGCCACCTTTACCACCGCCGCCCGCCCTTCTGCCTCCCTCTCCAGTGAATTGGGCTTGTTTGAATTAGTTTCTGCCACTAAAAGTAGGTCTGCAGTTCCGCACCATGGCAGGCCGGCTGGTGCCGCAGACGTGCAAGGCTGCAAAGCTTTCGGCTTCTGCAGCCGCGGGGTATTAGACCCTGACACAAAAGTCACTGCGCAGAGTGCCCCTCTGCTGCTGTTGGATTTTCTGCTTTTGCTGAACGCATTCCCTCCGAGATGAGGCATGCCGGGCCCCCCCTCTCCGCCAGCGCCAAGGTGACGGGGCATGTTCCAGGTCAGGGCTCGCTTCCCGCTTTGCTTTGCTTTAAAGTGCTGTTGTCGAGGCACTCTGGTCCTTGTCTGACCTACTTACTTACATCTGGCTGCTTGGAAGGAAGGCAGATTTGCTCTGCCAAAGAAGTAGCTTTCTGCTGGGAAGCAAAGGTGGGAGGAGGGAGCGGTGGGGGAAAGTGCCCTCCTAATGAGGGGCTGAGAGTGTTGGGTTTCTCCTGCTGCCTTTGCCAGGGCAGCTCTGGAACGAGCACAGCTCCCAGGCCTTGCTCCTTGCTCTGATGTTACAAGGTTGGTTCAAAAATTAAATGGTCTTTTCCAGAGTTGAGCCAGCTTCTTCATCAGCAGCTTTGGGGGGGGGGCTGTGGTACTGGGAGCCGAAACTGGCTGTGGGGTCTCTTGCAGTACAGAGGCTGTGGAGCTCCATGCCCTGGCGTGGCTCTGGGGTTTGGGTGCCTCTCTGCTTCCTTTGGCCCATCCCCACTCCCCTTTCTTCCTCTGGTGTCTCCCACATGCAATACCATAACCGTAGACATTCCTGCTGCTGGGCAGGACTGGCTGCACCAGCCAGAGCCGCAGCAGCCCCATGCCCTGGGCGCAGACTCTCCCTCTGGCAACCCCCGGGGTGGAGGCAGCTCAGGAGGAATGCTTGTGGGGAAAGGGGAGAAGCTGTCGGGTGGGTGCGGAGGTTTGCGGGGAGCTCCGCTTTCCCCTTTCCAGCAGGAGCAGGTGAGGGGAGTTGCAAATGCTGTTCGGCAGGTAAATGTTGCTCGCAGCGTGGCCCCTGGGTAGTCTGGGCCGTGGGGAGATGTGGGCGTGCCAGGCCCTGCGTGCTGGGATTCGGTGCTGCCGCGCTCAAGTGTCCTGGTCAGGTCTGACCTGCTGTCGTGGTGCTCCTGCAGCGATGCACGCTGTGCTTGCTTTCGCCCGGGGCCTGTCTCTGCTTTCACCAAAGCAGCTGGGCACCTTCCCTGCGTGGCCAGCGGTGTTTCCTCCTGCAGATGTGGGGCTTAAATCTTCCCTCGCCTGGGCTGGAGTCTGGGTCGGTGGCCCGGGGGTGCTTGTGACTTCGCCCAGGAGCTGGCAGTGATGGGGTTGCCTCTGCAAGGACCGTCCGACCCTGTCGCTGAGTCTCTCCGTCTGTCACACCCCGTTACTAGATCATGTCTCAAAGCAAGCCCTCCTCTCCCTCTGCACCGGCTGTAAATTTGCAGCGTGTTCTTGGCACCTACCGACCTGAAAAGCAGCCGAGTGTGGATCCGACTGTGCGGAGAACTCGCTCTGACAGGGCTTGGCTCGGTTTCCCCTTGGCATTGACACAGGCGCTTCCTTCGCACTCTTACACCTCCCGCAGCTGTGGCTGTCGCCGGGCCCTTGCCACCTTCAGCCTCCTGCCCCAGCAAGGGCTCTGCTTGCCATAAGCCGTCCTGTCGATCCTGTGGCACGGATCAGCCCCGTTTGTAAGGTTTCTGTAGCTTTAGGGTCTTGCAAAAACATCAAGTGTAAATGTGTGTCCCAGAATAACACTTAAGTGCTGGGTATTCTATGGTAGCTTGTAAATTTTCTCCTAACGACTCTGACTGCAATCCTAGTTAGAGGAAAGATGCGTTTCTTTAGCCAATTAATTTTTTTAGAAGCAGTCAGCGATGGTTTTCCGAGTGGCTGCTTCCTTTCTGTGAGGCCGTTGTGGCTTTGGGGTGGTTTGGGGTGACTTTGTTCTGCGGCAGGGACTGCGCCCTTCCAGCAGGCACCTCCCGACGGCGCCCAGCGACTTGCACTCTGCCTCAGTTACTTGCCCTGTGTATTCTGGATTGTGAATCGGCGTATCTCTGCTTGGCCTTTGCCTAGGAAAACCCTGAGAATACTTGGCTGGGTTTCGTGGAACAAAAGGAGACCTCGCGCTCCAGCCCTGCTCTGCTCGTCTCCTTCAGGGCTGCTTCCCGCAGCCGGGCTCGGAGCAGCTCTTGCAAAAGAGTCGGCACGGGAGACTGGTGAGCAGGCAGAGCCCCAGCACCTCTGGCCTGCAGGAGAGGGGTGGCAAAAGGGACTAGAGCTGGAGGTCTCTGTCCTCAGCCTCCCCGAAAGCCCCATCAGCAGAGGAAAAGGGAGGGAGCATCAGAGATGCCTGGCAGGAGGTGGGAGAGACCCCAGCGGGGGCACAGTGGGGGGCTGTCTGTCCTGGAAGCTCCTGGTCAGGGCAGGGGAGACCAACCCAGCCCTGGGTGCTGCCTTGCTGAGCGAAGGGACCGAAGGACTGCAGGCAGAGCAGGAGGGCAGCCGCTGCAGGGGCACAGAGGGGTCTCGGGTGTGTTTAAGCCGAGTGCTTAAACACAGGCGGAGGCTGGTACAGGGGTTTAAGCTGGAGCTGGTCTTTAAAGGCACAGTTATGCACCATCCAGAGCAGGAGACCTCCAGGTAGCATGTGTGTGTGTAGTTCATGGATTTTCACCAGGGTTTTTTTCACGGTTATAACCAAACTCTCTGGGTGGGGGCCTGGGGACTGGGCAGACCACCAGCTTTTCTCCTAAAATACCGGCACAGCCCATTTGGTCTCATGGCACAGTGACTTTTTGCAGAGGTGCTGCCTGTTAGGCCCCCACACCAGGGCAGGGCTGTGTCTCCCGGGGGGCAGTCGAGGAAGACCCAGAAATGTCAGACCCTCAGCATTGGCCTGGCATTGCTTCTGCTGAGAGGGTGGGCCGGCTTGTTGCCAACAACTCAGATATTGGGGTGAGTTTGGGAGAAAAGCTTGGCACGGGGGTTTGGTTTGAAAGTGTGGCCTTCAGTGGGGGCCCCCTGCAATTAATGTGCTTTTTTTGGCAGAGAGTTTCACCTGGGCATTTTGCTGTTCCTGCCTTGTGACTCAGACCTGTATTGGCAGACGCTGCAGCAGCGGACGGCGTCAACTCAGGGTGGCAGGCTGGAGCTGGAGACTGGCTGCCTGCTCCTGTGTAAGGCTGCCGGTACCGTAAGCTCTGCGCTGTGGAGCGTCTGGTGCTGTTTTACAGATAACTTTGTGCACTGTCGGTTTTGAGTGACGGTCGGAAGAGCCGCGGGTTCATTCGGTGTTCCTTGCTCTTCGCTGGTAGTGTGTCAGCCGCAGCCTGGCGGAAACGAAAGACTGACTGTGCTGGGTACGTCATGCAGAGCCTCAGATGTGGCTCGTTAGTGCCTGCCTCTAAATAAGCCTGGCATCAGTGGGCTTTAAAAGGCTCTCAGAGGTGGCTGGAGCTCTTCTCTGCTCCCTGTCCTGCTTGGAGCAGCCTGAAGCCACCAATATTTTCCTTGCTCCCCTTGTGCCTTGAGGGGCTCCCGGCTCCGCTCCAGCGTGCAGGCATTGTTTGCTCTAAATGCACAGACAGCATTGGAGCACACAGTGAAGGGGATGGTGCACGTTGGCAGTTGATTAAAAAGGCATTTTTATCTGAACAGTAACATCACCGGGCTCGGGACCTGCTTTCTATTCAGCGGCGTATTGTTCTCCATGAGGCGTGGGCCATGCAGCATGTTATTCCCAGCCATGGGTCACCTCGAAGCAGCCGGGAAGTCCCTGCGTCTCCCGCCGCTTCCTCCTGCTGGAACAATTGGAGATGTCTGTCAGAGAGAGCGGTGGTTCAGAGCGGTTCCTGCCCGGTCCCTTCGTGTGCCACCTCTCGCTCCCTGGCTTCCTTTCCCTTCTTGCCTGGCACATGGGACAGGGAGAGGCAGGGAAGTCTGCGGGCCCTTCTGGGATGGGCTTTTCCTGCTCTTCCCTTTGCTGCAGCCCCTAATGTCAGGACATGATTCCTCGCTCCTGATTAAAGGTTTCCTCTGCCAAGTGAACCGAGCTGAGCTTGGTGGAAAGCTGCTAAAGGATGGCCTGACTCTGGGGTCTGTCCCATGGTCAGGAATGGGGAAGCCGTGGCTCCACCAAGGGCTGTGGAATTCAGCCCTGAGGCGTTAGAAACTTTTGTGTTCAGGGTTTTGTTAAAAATGCATTGTCAGTGACCGTGGATTGTTAATAATTCACAGTGAATGTCTGAGTCCCGCGGGGCTGGAGTGTGTCTGTCTGTCTGCACGCAGAGATGCACCGGCTCTTTGAGACGCTCCAAATCGAGATGGCAGCTCGCTCTCTTAAAGCATGCTGATACGATTTTAAAAGCCTGAATGACCTTAAATCCTGCGATGGCTGTCTTTCAGGATAAATTATTTATGTCGCATCTTCAGTGCTGCCGAAGCCCTCGCTCCTCAGGAACGGGCGGAAATGTCAGGCTTTGGAGGACAGGCTCTGAATTTGGAAGGACTGTGCTCAGGGTAACGAGGAACTGAGGGTTTGGATGGGAAGAGGTGGAAGATAAAGGCGCCCTGCGAGGCGGGGGCGGGAGGGAGGGTGTTTGAGAGGTCCAGCCTTGGAAGTCGTCCCCAAACCGGTGCAGCCGCATTCTGCAGCCGACATCAGAGGGCTGGAAATTCCTCTTGATCTGCAGTTCAAAGCCGCTGCCTCCCTGAGGATGAAGCGCTTCATCTCGGGTTTGCAAATGCAGGCTCGCCGCGGCAGCCAGCGTAGCTGTGAAATACAAATCTGCCACAGCACCCAAATCCCCCTGAAAAGCAAGGAAACGTGCTTATGGCATCTGAAGGTCACTGCTGCCTGTCCTGCTAAAAAAGCAAACCCTCCTGAGGGATGAGCAGGATCCAGGGCTGCTTGCTGGAGAAGGCATTTCGTTTCCCTTCACAGCAAATGGGGACTTGAAAAATGCCTGAAAAACGTGGCGTGTAGTCCTGTCCAGGCCAGATCTGGCTAATTCGGCTGTTTTATGGGAGAGGGGGTCTGCTGAATATAGCATTCTTGGGTTTTAATAGTGTTTTGAACCCAGGGTTGGCAGGGGAGTGCTGATTGAAAATGCTGCAGGACTGCCCCGCAGTTGGTGCTGCTGTGGGGCGAGGAGTGCTGTGGTGATGGTGGGGTCCAGAGTGGCTGCTGAGCAGCAGCTCTGGAAGCAGCTTTCTGCAGGGTCACCTCAATTTCAGTGAACTCTCTCTCCTCCAAAGTGATAGCTTTTCACACGTTGTCTTCCTCCCAGTTTTCTCACAGCCTTCTTGGGTTTTGTTTTTTTATTTTAAAAGGAAAGCTAACGTGCAAACCTGCCCCTCCTGGCTTAACCGAAGACAAGCTCTCCTCTGCGCTTTGATCTAGTGGGTGTCTGTCTCGCTGCCCCGATTCAGGTCTTTCAAACCACTTTCCCTGCAAGCGCAGTGAGCTGCCGCCGTGGCATATGGAGCTCTCAAAGGCTCAGATCTGGCTTGGTGAAAGGATCCCTGGTAACGAAGAACAAAGGAGAAGAAATGCAGAGAAGTCGGCTGTCGGAGCAGCATTGTTTCAAAGGGCATGGTTTCCGTAAGGCCTACGCCAGACATTAAGGGGTGGTAAGCAGTGCTGGGAGAACCCCCACCTTTTTTTTCCTGGAGGATTTAGCTTGTGTCTCCCTAATCTTTATCAGCTGTGTTGTCTTCATGAACATTAAAGATCTAGACTTTATTTTAAAGACAGACACGGATCACTCCAGTGTTTCCACCCAGAGGTCTTGGCTTTTCTCGTGGTATGAAATAATCAGCAGCTGCCATGTGCTGAGTTTGGTGCCTCTTGATTTTGGTTTTTCAATGTGACCTTTGTTGTTAATCCACAACCTGAACGGGGCCGTGTGCTGAAACGAAATGACCTGTTTCTCGGGAATTCAGCTCCAGTTTATCCTCAAGCTGCTTTAGCTTAAACTCTTCTCTCCCCTCCTCTCACTCTTCTAGGTCAGAGCCTTTATCTGAATGCTGGTTTCGGTGCGGCACTAGTTTTAAGGGCACGTTAGATATGGGGAGATAATGACTCATGGTTTTCTTTGTAGAAATACCCCTCTTCTCCCTGGCTGTGCTTACAGGAGGTAACGTTGCTGTGGGATTGTCCCTAGCCTCTCTGCCTGACGCAGGGCTTACGTGGGGGGAAGCAGGGCAAATGGGGGGACCTGAGCAGCATGCTTCCCTTGCAGACGTGGCACTGACTCGTTTTCTAACAGCTGACAAACCACTGTCCGTCCATCTGCATACGGCAAGGCAGTGTGTCCCTGTTGCGGGAGTATCTGAAGGGTCTCTTGTGTCCCAAAGTGCTGTTGAGGTGCAGAGCTGGGTGGGAAGTGTCACCCTGTGAGTAACCAGCAGGAGCGTAACGGTGAGATGATGTGGGTGTTTCTTTTCCTGTGGGTCAGGAGTGGAGGTGACGGCCTGCAGCGCTGGCACTGCTCCTGTGCTGGCTCAGGCCTGTGACACATGAGAGGGAGTCAGGAGTCTCATTACCTGGCATGTTTCTCAGCTGTATCTCTGCTAATTACCTCCAGCTGCTGGTGTTCAAACAAGGTCGGGGCTCTCCTGCCCATCCCCTACTGCTGGTTGTGCCATGATGCCATCGTGCCATCGCCCCGACATCATGCTCTGCCCTGGCAGCAGCTTGCGCCGTCCTGGCCCTGCGATCTGCTGCGGGGTGGGAAGGAGCATGGGGGAAAAACGCTCCTGTTGCAACATGTCCTGGCAGCACCGGCAGGTCCCAGACGAGCACGTTAGGAGCCGTCTCTGATCTTGCTTTGGTGGGAAAGGTACAGGCCGAATGGGTTTGCTAGGCTTCATTCCAGTCTGTGGAGCATCCCGGCTTGGTGGGACTGGTAGGGCTGAAGGAGAAATTGACAGATATTGGCTTTTCTTTGCAAGGCCTTGAGCTCAGTCTGGAGCAAAGTAGCTCCGCACATATCAGGGAAGGGTGCATTTCTGAGAGGCAGGAGTGAGGTGGCTTCCCAGTGGGGTGGACGGGGACCTGCTGCGTCACGCCAGGTTTGAGCTTGCACTGTTCCCAGCTCTGCAGAGGTGTGGCTGATGCCACCAGTGAACTTGAGATCTCAAATGACTTAGAAAACACCAGAAGATAGAGGGAGGAACTTCTTCCCAACAAGGGTGTCTGTAGCTGAGGAGTTTCTTACTTGGTAGAAGAGCTGCTTTTAATTAAAAGGCAGTTTACTTACTTATTTTCCTGAACCGCAGAGAACTGGTGGTTTGCTCGAGGGCAGTGGAGCCGTTGGCATCGCAGTGATGCCGCTGGTCTGTTTTTCCTGTTCTCACACCTCTGCCATGACAGGGAGTGGGAATGCCTAACATGTGAGGATGGACCTGGTCTTATCCTGGCCTCCCTGGCATCAGTAAATTGTAGTTTAGCTAGTAGAAGGTGAGTGTCAGAAGGGATCTGGATTTTAATACCTCATACAAACCATTTCAAAGGTTGTGGACACCTGGGTTTCAGTGCCTGGGTCTTAAAGAAACTTTCACTGTCATGGTGGATGTATCTGTGATCTCTCTGGTCGTGTGCCCTGGAGGTCAGGGATCAGAAGTCGGAAGCTTCAGGTGTGAAACTGTCCTGTACTTACCTTGTGTTGGTATTGTGGTCCCCTTTAATGGTTAAGGAACAGGTTTTCCTGGGGGAAAGACATCTGCGGCCCGGAGAGGGGCATTTATCCCCTGCCTCTTGGTCTGCCTCAAGCAGCCGAAACTCCTGGGGTGGTGAGCGAGGCCTCCAGTCATCACATTCCTATTCCCTGAGCCGGTGCTGCTGGGACAGCCCTACCTGCTCGCTGTAAGAGCCACGAGCTTGCCAGAGGCCTGTCCTGTGATCTCCAGGTGATTCAGGCTCCTCTTCCTGTCCCTGCTTCCTCTGTGCTCAGTCTCTGGTGCCAACCAGAGCTGCCAGGCTCTGTGGAGCCCCACCGGCAAAGCACCGCGCGGGCTGGGAGCCATTCTGGGTAAGCCACAGTGCAGGATGGATTTGTTTTGGGCTTGTTATGAGATGGACTGAAATGTAATCAGATCGATATTGGGAAAGCTTGTTTTGCTGCCTGCTTGGACAGCTTCAAGGGGGGCTTTGGAGTTGTGGAAGTGGAGTGGGGTGCAGAGAGCCTTCAGAGTGTTGGGAGATTACTGACGTAGGATCTGAGTGGTTGGGAAAATCTGCCTTATCTGTCAGGGCTGTTCGGGGACAGGAGCATCTCTCCTTGTGCAAGCCACAGGACAGCACCGCACTGCTTCGTCTGCCTTCTGCTCGGTGATCCGTCTGGCAGAT